GCAAGCGGGGAACCCCTGAGAACTGTCTGTCCGGGGTGGGGGTCGGGACCCTTTAAGCACAGCCCTCGGCTAGCCTGAGACAACAGCTCCACGCTCTAAATCCTAATCTGATGCCCTGCCGGCACTGCTTCCGGCCATCCTTAACCTCGGTTCAGGGTCCACTCAGTGTGGACATGCTAGTTCGAATTAGCAAAATGCTAATTCGAACTAGTTTTTAAGTCTAGATGCACTAATTCGAATTAGCTTAGTTCGAATTAACTAATTAGTTAAGTTAGTTAACTAAGTTAGTTCGAATTAGTGCTGTAGTGTAGACATACCCTATGTAACTAGTGTTTAAAAGAAAAGACTGGTTTGTGCTCAACCTATGGATTTGGACAAACCCTTCCTAATATTCAAGATCCAGAGTTTTCATTTAGCTCATTCTCCATCCCCCTCTTCCACATGCACAGGCAACCGTGATAGAGCACCTCCTGCTGGACATTCTCCAACCTGTTATATTTGGAGCCCACCTCACTGAGCCCCATATACTCTTTAAGGGTACCTCTTCCTGCAGCTACAGAAGATTTCTGGGTGTAGGTCTATCCTGGCCCCAGCTGTTCCTTGTAGGGGAAGGGGAGCTGAGCCCAGCTCACGATAAGAGTCACTAGCCCTGTTCCCTCCTCTTCACACTGATTGATCTCTCTGCTAGCTTCTCCGGATGCCTAAACCAATGTGCCAATGCTACTGGAAGGCTGTGTGACCGCTCTTGAGGTTTTTCTTTGCTTCTCCATCAGAAAGTTAAGAAAATACTTTTTTTTCCTGGGAATCAAAAATATCTGCTGGGAATATGAATTCTGCACATGCACAGTAGCACAGAACTCTCCCAGGAGTCGTGTATAACCAGTCAATAAGAATTCATTTTGGTAAAGTGATGCTTGTCATTTAGGGCCAGCGTTTGAACCCCTGTTTTTTTTAAGGAAAGAATGATCACATTCTCATTTACATTCAGAATCTCTTGGGTTTTGTCTACACTTAAGTGCCATAACAACATTTTAAACTGAAAGTGTGGCCATGCAACAATACTGGGAGAGAAGTCTCCCAGCACTCTATGTAAACCACTTCCATGAGGGGAGTAGCCAAGGGTGTGTCTCGACTACAGGGTTTTGTCGACAAAACTATACCTGCTTCTACACTGCCGCTGAGTTCTGTCGACATAACGTCGACAGAACTCAGCAGTTTTGTCGACAGCTGTAAACCTCATTCTACAAGGAATAACGCCTTTTGTCGACAGAGTTCTGTCGGCAGAAGGCGTTATTGCATCTACACTGTCCTTTGCATCTACACTGTCATGTCGACAAAGCGGTTTGCTTTGTCGACAGAACTGGCTGTAGCCTAGACGCTCTTTGTCGACAGAAGCTTTGTCGATAGTATCTGTCAACAAAACTTCTGTTAACAAAAGCCTGTAGTCTAGACGTACCCTAACTGTGCTGGGAGTACAGCTCCCAGTACTGTAGCCTAGTCCACACAGGCGCTTTACAGCACTATATCTTGCTGTGCTCAGAGCAGTTGTTTTTTCCACACCCCTGAACCAGAAAATTATAGCACTGTAAAGTGCCAGCGTAGACTTAGCCTTAGACTTCTAGAACAAAGCAAAACAGACTTATATACACTGTATTTACACTAAACTTGGCTGGGAATGAAGTAGAGCTCTTGGCTCTGGCTGGAACTCAGAGCCTCTCTCCCCATTCTGCCCCTTCTATCCACGGTCCTACCCGATTGTGCCTCTTCCCCCCAGGTCCCTGTCCTCCTTCTGCCTCCGTAGTGCCTCTTTGCTTTTCAAAACCCCACCCACTGGAGAGCTCCTCCAGCCCCAGGGCCATGATAGGAGGAGATTTTTCTAGGGGCCCCAAATCAGTCACTGCTCCTCTGCCCCAGGTGGCACAAGGTTTGGGATGGCTTTCCCTCCCTCAGCCTCCATAACATGCCTTTCCATAGTTGTGACACTCATGAAGGTGCTACACAGGGGTGGGGAACCTTTTCTGAGTGGGGGGGCCGCTGACCCACAGAAAAAGCAGTCGGGGGCTGCACACAAATGAAGGCCAGGGACACCGTTTCTACCTCCTGGCTAATACCACTCCATGGACCCAACCTCCATGACTTGATCTCACTTCTCTTTAAACTCTGTTCTAGTTCTAGCTTTCACAGCCTCCTGCAGCAAGGAGTTCCACAGGTTGACTATTTGCTTTGTGAAGAAGTGGGGAGGAGAAGCAGGGGGACTGGAGTGCCAGTGCAGGCTCCCCAATGTTGGGGGCGGGGCTGAGTGTTGGGGGACAGATCTAGGCAAAGCAAGGCCGCATCTGGCTCCTAGACCTAAGGTTCCCCATCCCTGTGTTATACCATGTCCTTCAGCACTGGACTGGTAATTGTTTCCTTAACATGGTGTCAAACATACAAGTTTATCCTGTACTTTTGCATACCCAGCACTCCCACTAAAGTTAATCAGAATTTCTGAATGTCAGTGGAAGATATTAATTTCATAATCTCAGAAAGATTAAGACATCCACCCTGGAAAAAAAATCCCCGGTTATTCATACCATTAAAAATCCAGTTCACTTCAGGTGTGTTTGTAGTGCTTCCGTGTTTACATTTTATATATGTTCTAACAACCAATATTAGTAGCAGGGATGTAAGTAAACACAGGGAATTTTAAGCAAATATTAGCAAATATTAAGGGAAATCTGAATTTATAAATGTGAGTATTTGCATAAGAACATAAGATTGTAAATCAATAATCATATAATCAAGGAACATAACTGTACTATGTAATCTATGTATGTAAGTAAATCCAAACAAAGCCACTGAAATGCTGAAGCTGCTAAATTTTGCAGGCTAAACAACTAAAGCCAAACAATGCCACTGAAATTCTGAAGCTGCTAAATTTTGCAGGCTAAATCCTTGCAAAAATAAAGAACTGCTCATGAGAAATCCACACATTTTCACTGCTGGATCAGCACACAGTATATATAATGTTCCATCTACCTGAAAACTCTTCCAATGTTGACAGTTGAAATAGGATAAGAATAATACCTGTAGCCTTGTTTTTACCTCCCTAGTTCTACGAATTAGCATTTATTTTAGTAGTAGAGGTGAATCAGAAGACTTGGGAGAGGATTTAGACTATCTTCTTCTCCTCCTGTAAAAGTCAGGGAGTGGTTGAGTTTGGGCCCAATGTTAATTTACAATAATTAAAGTAGGATGTATGGGATGAAGTTAATTTGGGAGAGTTAGAATATAATGCTCCTATCTTCGGGCTCTATCCTCATTCATTTTATACCATCTTAAGTGCTCTAAAGGGTTTAGTCTTTCCTCATTGCATACTATGCGAGCAGAAATATTTGAGTGAACTGTTGCCAATGGCTCAGAGCAAGGGGTTTGTTTCAGATTACACTGCAGTAGTGTTGTTCTGACCTGATCTCCTTTCTAGGAGAGGCTGAGAGAAGCAGCTTCAGGGGATTTAGCACTAGCAGCAGCACATGATCCATCAGGCGTGTGATTCTCACCACTGAAGACTAACAGGAAGGATGAAGTAAAAGCTAAATCTGCCTTGCAGAAGCAACAGCAATTTTTTCTGCTCTTCATTTTCCACCACCAGTCTAACCTCCCATGGCGTCTCCCAGGCTGGAGACCTACTGCTGTCCCAACCGGGATGCAGCCACACAACTGGTGCTAACTTTCCAGCCCAAGGTTTTTTGTGGTGTTTGCATCGGCAGTGCTTCATTTAGTCTGCTGCTCAGCATCCTGCAGCTCCTCCCCAAGCAGGGGCAGAGTCCCCGGAAGATGCCAAAAGCTTCCTCCTCCACCACCATCCTTCTCTTCATCTCCATTTGTGACATCCTCGGTGGTCTAGGTAAGGACCAGCTTGCCGTCCTTTGTCCTAGCGTGAACTCCCTCTGCCAGGAGACAGTGTGTCTAAACGGGCCCATTTAGCAGCCGAAAGAGCTCTCTTGTCCTAGAGTGGACTCCCTCTGCCAGGAGGCAGTGTGTCTAAACGGGCCCATTTAGCAGCCGAAAGAGCTCTGGGATGAAAGGGTGTTGTTTCTGTTTTGCTGATGGCTTTGTGTTAAAGGATGCTAGAAATAATGGGTCTTGGTGGAGGAGAGATTTTTTTTTAATGTTAGGTTTAAAGTTCAAATTGAAAAAATCAAGCAATCTTCAGAATCTGCACCTAAGACTAATAAAATCCTGATGACAGGATTTTTTTTAATAGTTGACAGAGTCAACACTTAGCTGTTCCTAAAAACTAACTTTTTAAAACGTTCATTTGATCTGAAAACACTCCAAACAAGGTTGTAGCATTATGAAAATGCCAGCTATTCCACCAGGCAAATCACATAAACAACAGAAACAAGAGTGTTGGTTAAGACTGTGACTGTACTCTATAGATTGTGCTATAGATAGGGTTTTGAAATCTATAAGAACCTTGCTCATCCAATACCCTACCTGATCAAAAGGAGAGAGTAGGCTGAGGAAGTGGAAGAGTAAGGCAATATGCATGGAAACCCATGTGTCAAAATTAAAGTGGTGTCTAAGTTTAACCTGCCAGATTATGAAACATGCTGCCAAACTATGAATAAATGCTAATTGCACTGTGCCCTGAGCTAAATTCCTCTTCTACAGGGTGTGTTACAATAAATACCTTTACTCTCACATTTTATATAAAATGGTGAAATAATAATAATAATCTGAAGTCCTGTGGCTGAAAGGAAGGAACAGAGATCTATAGGTATTGTCCTCTACACTTAAGATGTGCTCAAATGATACAGTAATGAGCACATATAGAAGAATCTGGATAGACAGCCTGAGCAGAGTCCATTTTATTTGATGAAGCCAAAAATGTGAGATAGCTTTTTTGTTTTAATTATATTGACAGATCACAAACAATTGTCCTATATAATCTTTGTCTGAAATCCTTTGTAATTTTTCCTGGGCAGGGATCAATTCTCATTAAGTGGTATCTGAAGCATCCTGGGCCGTGCTATCGTACTACAAGAATAGACACTGTCACTGGTTGCAAGCTGTAATGTCTTTCAAAGCAGCAATGAAAAGTGTTACTTGTTCCATTCACTTGAAAAAGAGGAAAATAATTGTTTGCAAACATGAGACTAGGTTAAGAGTATAAAAATATCTTTAATACTAAAATGTAATGAGTTAAAGAGAAATGAATGTCTGCACATTGGTATATGCAAATATAACAGTGAAAACAAGTAAAAAAGAAAATGCTTTAATTATGAGATTATCATGATTTGATGGCAGCCTTTGACATGCTATCCAGTTCATTGTAGAGAAATGTGTGCCAGTGTTATGAAATGAAGGCTTTTTAAAAAAAAAAACAGAACTTTTAAAATCACAACAATTTTACACTTTGGTGCAGCATTCACTGATACCTTATGGTGGAATTTAAATAATTGAGTTGTCTTGCACTCTACTGACTCATAGACCTTGCTTTGTTCACATGTAAAAACCAGACTACAATTTGAAAATGTAACCGTGCAAGTACTGTCAAAATATATTAACACATTCAGAATGGTTAGAAATGAATTTTCCCATTAGGTATAATTTTCAGATCAACAGTATGGATAGGCTTCCCAGACTTCATAGCAAACATCTCTGTGGTGAATGGAACTGATGTGTGGCCTTCGACCTTCTGTGTGGGAACTGCCGTAAGTACAAAACTTTTTTTTCTTGTTAGGGATGCTAATTTGGTAAAGGAAGCCCTCCCCTTGCAAAAACCCCCCCACAAAAAACAAAAAACAAAAAAAACCCTCTTCTGGATCTAAAGAAAATTGAACTATCAATCTGGTCTATAAATTATAATGGATTTCTGTCTCTCCCAAAGCCATACAAGTCTTGCAGGCTAGACACGAAAAAGCAAGAGAGAAAGAAATGTAACAACTGTTCAGAAGATACAAGTATTGGCATGCCTTGCTATGCAACACAAGCTTAGAGTGGGAGGAGTGCTAGCTATTTCCTGAAAGTTGAGGCCAAAATTTTCAAATATGGGTGCTTAAATCATATCTAGATATCTAAATAAGGGGTTTGATTTTCAGAGGTGCTCAACACCTACAAGACCCAGTGAAGTCAATAAGGTAATTCAGATGTACAGTGATTTAGGACAAAAATCAAGGTTTGGGTTTGTATGCAGCAAATGTAAATAGGTATTTGAGCAAGGTATTTGGAACAGGTTGTATCTCTCTAAAGTACCCCAAAAACCTTATCTTTCCAGGCTTTGGTAAAAAACTCCCCCCCCCCCCCCCCCCCACACTACATAACAAGTTTGCTCCACTGCCACCACCCAAAATGACTAGATGGAAAAGTTACAAAGTAATATTCTCATGGAGGAGAAACCCACCATGAGCCAGGAGCTTAGTTACAAAAGAGAGCAAAAAGCATTTTTAAATGCACAGACATCAGATCCCATTTTCCAAACCATAAAACAATAAAACCTAATGGATTTATCTAAACTTTACCCTACTTACAGAAGAGTGAAGAGTCTATTCTTGGAGGGAGACATTCTGTCTGTCCCCCTCAGTAGATGGAGAGAAAACTCCCCAGAAACAAAGACGGGAAATCCAAAAATTCCTTTGTTCTAGTTTGAAATTCCTACTTACCTTCCTATTAGCTGAATATACCAGACTTACGGAAGGTTAACCCCTTAGTTCCCAGGCTGCTGGTTAACCCTGATGATCATGGCATATGTACAGTGATTTAGGACAAAAATCAAGGTCTGGGTTTGTATGCAACTAAGGTAAATAGGTATCTGAGCAAGGTACTTGGAACAGGTTGTACCTCTCTGGTCTGGCAACATCCGTGGTCCAGGAGGATCGTGGATGTTCCTGGACCACAGAGCCCAGGTATAGGGAGGATTGGCAGATGTGGGGCAGGAGCACAGCAAGAGGAGCTGGTGACTCAGCTGGAAGCCCCGAGTCAGAGGGGCAGGTGGTGCAGCAGCAAGGAGTTCTGGCCCTAGCAGCTGGGAGGTAGCAGGGCCGGCCCCAGCCATAGAGCTCCAGCCCCGATGGCCACCAGGGAGCTCTGGCCCCGAGTGTGGAGCTCCAACCCCAGGGGCATTTAGGGGCTCTGGCCCCAGCCATGGAGTTCCAGCCCAGGTGGTAGCCAGGGAGCTCCAGCTCTGGCAGCAACAGGGCCAGCGGGAGCTGGAGAAGTCTGGTCTGAGGAACCAGGGCTGGGGAGGCAGCAGCAGGGCTAGGCTGGAGCCCTAGCTCAGGGGCAGTGGTCCAGAAAACCCCCTAGTTCAGGACCAGTCAGGTCCCCAGGGTATCGGACCTGGAGATCCAACCTATAATTATATACTCTATGCTGAAAATCAGACAAGAAATCGCAGGTTGGTTGGCCTGAAAAATGTGGTCTGTCGTTCATATTTTAACTGAATGGGTTTAATATGTGGCAATGCATAAACATAAATGGCATAAAAATGCTGTATCTGACCAATATCCATTTCAGTTCACCATTTTTGCAGTAAGATGGTGTCTGACAAATAGGACCAAACAAAACTTATAAAAGACAGAGACAATATTGGATGCCCAAGGATCAATCATGTAAAATACTATAATTCGTCTGACAAATAGGACCAAACAAAGACTTATAAAAGACAGAGACAAGATTGGATACCCGAGGATCAATCATGTAAAATACTATAATTACAAATAAATGTTGCCAAAATACCTTTTTCTACATGAAAACAAAAATCTGATTAGGTTTCAAAAGGCATTCTATCACTGTGTTGTACAGAAACCTGTAACCAAGTGCTATAAAGCTGAATGATGACAATTTCCATATTAAAGTACCATAGTAGAACACAAATCAGTCACACTGCCACAGTAGCAGCAGTGATGGTTGGGGGCACTGCGGCCCCTTGAATCACTGGACCTCAGGGCAACTGCCCCCTTTGCCCTCCCTGTCAGTGGGCCTGCACTCCCCTCTCACACCTCATTCTCATTAGAATTTACAAAGCCACTTACAGTCATGTAACGTCCCTTTTAATCCTATTCTTGTTTTTGTTTAAAAGTTAGGCCTTGGAGGACTTCCGGTTAGACACAGCCCCAAGAAAGAACAGATTATGTTGACAGTGCCACATTCCCAGAGATTTCCACCAGGGTTGGCAGTTCTACTTAGCAGCCAGCAGAGGGGATGAGTACAAAGAGGACTCATTCACTTCCTGCTAACTTTTTGTGTATGGATTCCAGGGACTGTCATAGAGCAAATGGTTTAGTAGAACAATTAATCTTGATTTAAAAATTGCCAGAGATTGAGAATTTAACATAACTGGTAGTGACTTTTGCCAGTGGTTAATTATTCTCATTGTTAAAAATGTATGCCTGGTTTCCAATTTGAATGTATCTAGCTTCAATTTCCAGCCAGGGTAAAGGAACCTTCCTAGAAGTTATTACTCCAGGGTCCCTGCCCCACCACTTCTGTCCGAGGCCCTGCCCCTGGCCAAGCCAGAAGCTAGAGCAAGCTGGGAGCCATGGAATCCCCACCTTCCCAGGGTGGGGACCTTACAGCTGGCCCTGGTCTGTGGGCTCTGGTCTGTGATCTTATAGCAGGCCTTAGTCTGCAGGCCTAGTGTTCAGGCTAGGCGGACCCCTGGCTTCCCACAGCTGCCCACCCAGCTCTCACCCTGACTTGGCTCTGGCTAGAAGCTGGGGTTGCAGCCGTGTAGAAGTTGTGGATCCTCCATCTTCCCTGGGTGATGGGATCATGGGCATGTTCTCTGCCCCCCTATCTCTGGTGGTTGGAGAGTCCATTGTGTAGCCCCATGTTATCCAGGCTCCCTGGCCAACCTAACCAGGGGGTGGGATTTCGGGGGGCAGAAGAGGGTCAGATGTGGGACCCATTTCAAAATGTGGCTCCCTGGCCCTCCTTCTTCCAGCATCCTTGATTCCAGCCATAGGATTGTGTTATACCTTTCTCTGCTAGCTTGAAGAGCCCATTATCAAATATATATCCCCCTGTAGATACCCTTAGCATTCTCTTTTTGTTAAGTTTAATAGATTGAGATCCTTGTGTCTATCACTTTAAGACATCAACCTTAGCCTGAGCCAGTTCACACAGGAGATCCACTTATTTGACACTACAGTACAATTAAATGATGGCTATATCTTCACCACCTTATACCAGAAACCTACCAACCATTATACTTACCTACATGCTTCTAGCTTCCATCCAGGACACATCACAAGATCAATTGTTTACAGCCAGGACCTAAGATACAACCAGATTTGCTCCAATCCCATAGGAAGAGACAAAAACCTACAGGATCTCGATCAGGCATTCTTAAAACTTAAATACCCACCCAGGGAAATGAAAAAACAGATTGGCAGAGCCAGACGAGTACCCAGGCATCAACTTCAAGAGAGGCCCAACAAACAAAATAACAAAATTTAAACCCCTCGAGCTCATCATTCACAATTTACAACCTATCCTGGAAAATAACTTCTCACTCTCTCAGGCTTTGGGAGACAGGCCAAACTTCGCCTACAGACAACCCCCTAACCTGAAGCAAATTCTTTCCAGCAACCATGCATCACACCTCAGACATATTGACCTAGGAAAGTACCCCTGCAATAAGTCCCATTGTCAACTCTGTCCACTCATCTATTCAAGCAACACCATCACAGGACTTAACCACATAAGCCACAACATCAGAGGCTCATACAACTGCACATTCTCTAATGTGATATATGCCATCAAGTGCCAGCAATGCCCCTCTGCCATTTATATTTGCCAAACTGGACAGTCTCTATAACAAAGGTTAAATGGACACAAGCTGGATATCGGAAATGGTAATACACAAAAACATGTAGGAGAACATTTTAACCTACCTGGGCACCCATTAATGAATTTAAAAGTAGCCATTCTTCTACAAAGGGATTTAAAAAACCAACTACAGAGGGAAACTATGGAACTTGTCTTCATATAGAAATTCAACGCTATCCTTCATTGCCTGAACAAAGACATGAACTGGATGGGCCATTATATTGAACACCTAACGGACATCAAAAGCAAAGTATGTTACACTTCCAGCCCACTCAATTATCCTCATTAACATTGGTACTACAATTGGCAGGTATTTTTTTCTCTCCCTCTCCCTTCTTTTTCTGTTATTTATTCTCTCCTCTCATTTAAGGAAGTGGGTTTTGCCCGTGAAAACTCATGATACTATATATATATATATATACACACACACACACACACACACACACACATATATATTTGTTAGTCTGTAAGGTGTGTGGCAAAGCTCCATTTGTGCCCTGTGGGTCTTGTGCTACTGGAAGATAGTATTAGCTTCAGAGGCTCACTGTGACCCTTCACATAGCCTCTTTCTCTTTACAAGAGGTAGGTCCCACAGCTTATTGAGCCATACTCATCACAGGCTAGTTCATAGTTTCAGGATGAAAACTCCTCTATAGTTCTGGTCCCACTTCTCAGGGCAGTTTCTGTGTTGGTGTGGGGGAAGGTTTGGGGAGAACCTTGGCCTGCCCACTACTTTAAGTTCCAGCCCAAAGACCCTAAAGCAGTAGTCACAGACAGGGTTGTTTTTGCTTCCAATCTGGCATCTTTTTCCCCAGGCCACTTCCTCAAACAACACAGACACAAAGCTTCTTCTGTACCACACTTCCTCTTTCCAGTCTATCAC